CTGTGATTTGTATCTGAATACATTGTTCTTGGTTTTTGTCATTGGCATTCTAGAGACCTCTTGGATTTTGATTAATAAATACAATACACACAGTTAAATGTCTTGAGCTTTAAATTTTAGGGAGTAAGAGTATGTTGCATGTGACATTAATTTACTGGGATTAATTTTTATTTTTCAATTTTGCAGGACTAATAGTCTCAAAATGCTGAGCTCTATCTGCAAATGCAAACTTATATTAGTGTAACAAACATGGACCTTATTTTGATGGATTTTGATTTTTAAGTGGCTTGGCTTTGCATGACAATATTTTTTGTGTGAGTTCTCGCTCTATTCAAACCTCTGGCAATTTCATGTTCTGTGAAAAAACCACTCATTTTTTATGTACACCAATTTAAAATATAATTTTCAAAACTGTGATATTGGCTTTTTAATACATAGATAAGCCTTAACGCCCATTTTAGCGTGGTTTTATCTGTTAGGTATTAAGTTCCTTTTATGTAGGCTGGATATTTCGATGATACCACACTGTGTGTTTGTTTGACCAATACTTTAAAAAATCTGAATGGCACTCTGATGAATTCTCAAAGAATGCGGCTCTTCGGATGCTTTATGTAGATGGACTGCAGTATAATTTAAGGCTTTTAAACTTTAGATTTATAAGGACTCAAAGTACTACCTTGCACTCTTAAAAAATAAAATACTGTATTTACCTCATATGATGTGTGAATAAACATTTAGCTTCGGAGAGCTGAAATGGAACTGGCAAGGACAGGGCATGGAAGAGCTGTATAAGTGGCAAGGCTGTTGCTGCTCTTTTTCCCCTCTTCAAGGGAGGTGATGGTTTGTGTCTTCACCATTCTTACCAGCTTAAACACCTTATTGCCCACTCAAAGAGGTAATAAACAGTGGCAAGTGTTTTTCTTGGAGCAGATGTTTAAAACCTAGCTGGGGTTTGGTGTTTGGTGGGGTTTTTTTTTTCTTTTTTTCCTTTTGCACATAGTGCTTTAAAGGCTCCCATATTTGTGAAGATAAAATTTGGAGAAAACGTGGATTTAGTGTCCCTGTATTCCAGAGGCAGTTTGATACAGTGGTGACTGTTGACGTTTTGGTGGAAATCGGAGGGGAAATGCCTTAATGCCTTTTTTTTTTTTGGTTTTTTTTGTTCAGTTTAGTCTAGGTATGATGTGACAGCTCCTGTCTTCACTCACATAGCTCTTGAATTGATTGTTGCTTCATGGGACCATCATGGTGCCAGTAACTGTGTCCTTTATTCAGAGAAGACAATTAGTTGCTGAAATTGAGAGCGGCTTGAGGATAAAGCATATGTATAGTTGCCAACACGCTTTAGCAAACTGAATATTTTTAACGACATTGGAAAACCAGTGCTGCATGGTGATGTCAGTGTTCACTAGGTTGCCATCAGTATGCTTTTGGTCCTACCCCATTGGGAATTACTCATGCGCTTAACAGTATTCACCCCAAAGACACCTCCTTTAAGTCAACATGCAATTATACAGAAAACTAAATTAATTTATGAGTTTTTGTGGCTTCATAGCTCAGAAGTAGAGGAAGCTACCAAATATAAAAATAACAGTGTAGCACTGCAGTCCTGCTCCTAGGGAGAGGGCCACCATAGCACTGTATCTACCTGCTATCTAGTGCAAAATATACAGGCTTTTAACAAACTAAGTGTGTATAGGAGCAAAATATCTCTCAAAACCCAGTACTTTTTGTCTTTCTTTTCTGTTGAAGGGCTGCACAGAGACCAAGTTCAGATTCGCATTTTACTGACTGTATTGTTGCATAAGAAACATGCAATCCTGCACTGTGTTTAAGGTGCTCTTTAAAAAACTTTCCCATGACTGTGAAAGGTGAAATTAACTGTCTTCTCTACCTTATATCTTTGATTGTTATTCAATACAGTAAAAAACCCAAACTTCTTGTTCCAAGATCCAGAAAGCTGTCTTAAGTTGCAGAGCTATTTAAACATCTCTTACTGCCTCAAGGTAAAACTTGTGTTCTTTCAGATTATTCCAGCATATGGGTAAATCAAAGTTTGAGGTCTTCTGTTGGCACAGAAAAAGAACATATGCTATTCTTATAAACTTCACATACTTACTGGTTGTGGCTTTTATTTCCTACTATGTATATTTTTACATATTTTTCTCCTAAAAGAAAAGTGGACATGTTTAAAAGTTAGCCTTTGGACTGTTAGGCTAATTGCTTAGAGCCTTTTGACACCTCCAATTATGATGTTAAAACTTCAGTATTTATAACAGGTAGTCCATGCTCTGATTAATTTTCTTGAAATTTTGGGTCCAGAAAAAAAAAGTATAAATGTAAATCCCTAATTAGCAACAGAAACATAATGAACTATTTCTGTTGCTTTCCTGTAACATCTTTGTAACAGTACATATATTAGTATGAGTATTACATTAGCATGAGTAATTATGAAAAGTATTTCCCTTTGTATAGATCCTAGTATATAGAGGAATGTCTAAAAGGAAGAAATTAAGACTTAAGAAAGTACTAGATTTAAGGTTTTCTGGGAGTAGCTTAGGGCAGAAGTTTTCCCTGAGCATTTTATGGTTTCTCTTTTAGAATTAGTGGAAGATCTTTTTGTTACATTATTAAAATCTCCAAAATAGTACAGAAATAAAATTTATATATTAATTATTTTCAATAGTTATAATACTACAGGATGATTCCTGTAAAAATAATTCTAAGACTGCTAAATAAACAATACAGAAAAAAAATACAGTGTGAAATAGTGTATGGGGATACATAGTGTAAAGGTGATGGTGTAACAATGAGGGAACTCAGTGTTTTTTCTTTAAGTTCCAATTAAAACAGACAAATTGAATGACTCTTTATAGGCATCTTGCATATGTAATAATTTCTGGCTTCTGATTTGCAAAGGTTGTCTCTTGTGACATTATAGTAATAGTCTTTTTTAATGTGAATTCTTTTAAGTTACATTAATATGTTGCTTTCTGAAATCAATCCTTTATTCCTGTCATACATAAATTCTAATCCTGACTTATTTTTATGTACTTGCTTAGGTTAGCATGCTTGTCATGTCTGATTTTTTGCCATTCTGTTTCACTGTAGTGCTGACGAAAAGCCCTAATTTCTATTCTTGTTTTGATCTGTCCTTGTCCTGAATCAGAGAGAAAATGGAAATATTTACGTTTTTAAGATTGAAACATTTAATAATAAGATTTCTAGCAATTCTTTTTAAAACGTTCTGTTCCTGTACTTCCTAATCAAAGTGAAATCCCTCTGGCTATGCTATGAGGATGCATTCGGGACATGGTTTAGTCTACTCTACCCTTGATTGGCTTAGAGTAGACTTGGTAGTGTAGGTTAATGGTTGGACTGGATGATCTTAAAGGTCTTTTCCAACCTAAATGATTCTATTCTATTCTATTCTATTCAAACTGTTTTGTGTCATGGGAGATTTGCCTAGTGGAAAACGAGATGTTGATTTTCATGAAAACCAGCCTTTTCCTTGAGCCAGTGTTTCAACTGGGAATTCATGACCAGACTTAGACAGGGATACTTTAGTCCTCAGCTGTGACAGAAGCTGATACTTCAGTATTTTGGCAATGGTTGAGATACTCTTGCACGTCTCCTGTCCCGTTCAGACTGGATCCTGCCAAGTGCTCTGTTTCCTGGCTGTGGCTGAGGACGTGCTTGGGCTGCAAGTGTGTGCAACAGCAGTGTGAGGGGACACACCGTGGCTTTTTGAATTGCCCAGACAATGTGCCTAGCTAAGGACTTTCTGACTGTCTTCATCTTCAAGTGTCGTGAACATATGGTCTTTGTTACTGTGCAAGTTTAGGTTGATTTTCACCAGAACCAATGTTTTCACATCATCATTTCTCAGTCATATGAGAGACTTTATTTGCTATGGAAACAAATATATGCTGGGCACGAGATGCTGACTCTGGGCCAGTTGGACTCTGTCGTTATTCCTGGGTATGTGTTAGGGCAGTAAGAGATAGTTGGCTCATATATTTGGTACTTTTTCCTGTACTTTCTTGTGATGTTCAGAGCTGTGCGCGGCTCCTGCCATGCCAGGGACTAAGGAAGAGTGAAGGCAAGCAGGGAACGGCCCGTCACCCTGTGGGGTTTGTGTGCTGCCCTACTGCCAGCCCCACACCCTCAGTGTGTGTGTGGTGGCCTTTGGCCATGCACAGGGGCAACGTTGGCATTATGTAAAACTATGCTTTACGTGACATTTACTTGTTACTTAATCCTGTTTTTGAGCTTTCGTTGGCAAAATTTTGTTGGTAGCAAGGCTTACCACTTGCTCACACGAGACTGAGGTGTGTTTAAACACTTCTCATCTTGAGATATTTTTAGAACTTCTATAAAATACTTTACTAAATCCTCACTGGAATTTTTTGAAAATATGTTTGCTGAAACATTTTTTTTACACATGTCAATAATCACATTGTTTAATACCGAGTTTTTAAATCATCTTAATTTCCAGTACATCTATTTTTATAGCAGCCCACTTTTATGCTGGGTTTTGTAGTTGTTGTTATAATCAGGACATTCTTATATGCACGAGTAAATTTACCAAAATTAATAATCCTGTTTTATTCAGTGAGGAGTATTCTTGTAGACAGATATTGCCCAAAATTGCAGTTCCTTAAATCACTTACAAAAACTATATGAATGCAGGACTTTCCTAAATGTAGTATCTTAAAAATCATAAGCTTTAATTGGCATAGAAAGTTTGTCTTCCAATATTCAAGAGTATCTTTTACATTTTCTAAATTACGTTCTCCCATTCCTAACTGCACGTGATAAATGTTCTGTCTTTTGAGAATGTGTTACTCTAAATAAGTCTTTAATTAAAATGCCATGTTTAGATGCTTCATATACATAAGATATGAAATGTATGCAGTTCTTTAACGACTATTTCATTAGATATTGCTTTATTTATAGAAGTAATTGTTAGTATTCTGTAATAATGCTACTTTTTTTAGCAGGTCAGATTGTTTCCCCACAGTCTGCTCCAGCCTGTATTGAAAACAAAAATGATGTGAGCAGAGAAAACAGCACTGTTGACTTTAGCAAGGTAAGTGTTCACTGACAGTGAGAGCTTCCTGACTACCAAATAGATCTTTTAAATTAAATAAAATGAATCCATGTGAATCAGGAAATTTTACTTCAGCATTAAAGTTTCATGTGCACTGCAACACAGTTTGTATATAACAAAAAAGAATTTTTCATTTTCTTGATAAATTACTGGTAACAGGAAATCACCGTTTAGGAACATGGATACATTTATTGCATAACAATATCATAGGAGTATATTTGTAGGGGGAATTTTTACAAATTGACAGAAAATTGTCTCAGTAGGAAAGTAATTCACGATTCTTATAATTCAGATTTACCTCTCAGATTTTTACTTTTTGTAGAAATAATGCATGAATGCAAACTATGCTTTTTATAACCTGAACTCGTGGATTCCAGATGTCTCAAACAGAATGTGTTTCTGTAAACCTATAACTTAATTCTTCTGGCAAGCCAAGATATTTCAGTACACTTCACAAAAGATGTTAAGTGTTCAGTAGTGGAGATTGCAATGACAGTTCAATGTTAGATAGCAAAGAAAAGCAAACAGCTTCTCAGCTTTAATGTAAGGGAGAATCCTAATTTGTTTAAGAAGTCTGTATGTACCTAAAACAAACTGTCACATTAGATACAGATGACAGACCTGACAGGGATAGATGACTTCAGCTGACACATTAATACAACAAAGGTTGAGTAAGTGAAGAAAGGTGATTTAAACCAAAATTCTGAAGAACAGCATTTTGAGTCTGTTGAATCTTAATGTTAGTGCAACTGAGCTAAAAGTAGAGTTATGTGATTGCTCCATCTGGTGCCAGACTTATTTCCTAGCAGCAGCAGCTATTTGCACGATTTGAATTCTTGACTGAACATGCCAGACTAGGAATGGTAAATGGCTGAAGTAAAGATGAGAAACAGATCTTTTTGTCAAAGACAGTAAGAAGAAAGGAGGCTGGCTGGGCATGTATTAATGGACCACATTTTCACAGAGGTAGCAAGGAGATCTATAAACAGTGACAAATAGTTAAAAATTTAATGCTAATACTTTAAAAATATTTAAAACTAAGATTATAATGCTTTAAAAAGTCAAGTATGATTTTGGTTTCCTGATACTAATATTAAAAATGTTAACTAAAACTAATTGTTTTGGCAAGTGTTCTAATATCAAGATGTAAAATTTTGTAAAGGATATCAAATATAAATAAACCTGTCTATTCAAAATTAAGCTGTGCAGAGGTGAAGCTCGTAACAACCCAAAGGGAACCACATGACTTTCAGTAGTGCTTTTCTTGCACGTTTCCCCAATTGCTTTGAGTGTTGTAGGATCAAAATCCCAGTCCATTATCTAGCTGCATGATGTTTGTATTAAACAAGAATGGGGGCTGCATCATTTGATCCTTCACTCACTAATTTTGTAGTGCTGCAGCTCTGTTGATCAAAAGAGCTCTTCCTATGTAGACTGGTCTGAGGAGAGATCGACATGTCATCTTTTGGCTAGCCTCAGCAGTGTTAGATACCAACAAGGATGTCAGTAATATGAAAGGAACAACTTTTGTTTGCAGGAATGAAATAACAGTAAAGGATTGTAATCTAAATACCTTTTTTGACTGCCTTTAAATAGATCCATTTATCCTTTTGAAGATGCATAAGTAAAGTACAATTTCCCCTTGAAATGTGCTATTCCAATAACTCCCAATGGTTATAATTGGAATTATATGCACAGATTGAGAGGAAAGTAGAGCAGTACACTAATTTTCTCTTGAGTATTGTGATTTCTTGCTCTAATTTTGTTCCACATACTAATTTCATTTTTCTACAATAAAGCACCTTTGACTACCTCACATATTCTCTCCTTGCTAATCTGTGTCCCTTGGGCTACTTCTAATATTCCAAATTTTGGAGTTGATTCAAAAAGCTGGCTTAATCTGAATACAGCACTGAGACTGTGTTGATTGTATTGGTATCTATTTATGAATAATGAGAGACATGGCACTAAAAGTTATCTTGAATGTTACTTCGGTAGCACAGAGAGGGAGACATAGTTTCTGATGTTTGTACTTGTAAATGTGTGACTCCTCTTCCTCTGGGGGCACCACAGGGACTTTGTATTCCGGGAGTGATATGGAGGTGATCTGTCACAGCACCACTTTATCCTGTGTCTGAGCAGGATGGGAATGGCAGTTTAACAACTGCATCTGGCTGGTCTCTGCTTCTCATGCCAGAGGCTGAAGGGAACCCTCTTGAGGGTTTTTTTTATTTGTCCTTAAATACGAAATGCCCAGAGACTGGACCTGCATCCCTTCTCATGGCAACATTCCTATGCTCCACATGGAAACAGTATTTCTGAATCAAACCCCCGTCCCATACTGACAGAGTTTGGTCTTTCAGATACCACATGAAGTAACTGACTTGTTTTCAAATACTGGTTGGCTCTGATTATAAATAAGATTGATTAATATGTGTCATGGCTTTCCTAAGAGGTGATGTTGGGTATTTTCTGTTTGTCTTCATGCAATTTATGTTTGGTTCTGGAGGAGGCCCCCACTGCTCTCTTCAGTCCTTGAGTTGCCCTGGAGGGTAATGGCCTCCACATTAGTTACTTAACTTTATGTTTAATAGGCGCTTACTGGGACTATTTAGCGCCAGGTCATGAATGTGGCTCAGCTTAGGGTGCAGATTAAGATGCACATGAGGTCTCTCCAGTTAAAGACCTCTTGGGATAAGATGTATAATGGATAGGTTAGATGAAGCATTCGGAAGATGAAGCTTCTGCCATTGCCCCAAATTCACTCCAGGGCCACCTCTGTTGTTGTTATGTAGCAGAAGCAAAACCCGGAGTTTGGGTGTATTTGCCCAGTTTGATGCTTGTCTGCCAGCTACTTTCCTTTTAACTGAGGTTAGTTTTAACTAGCTTCGTTACCTAAAAGACTTTGGAATCTTAAGCTGATAAATAGTACAGGAAACATCTGGAAATACTTTCTGGTGGACAGGAGACTGAATGTTTCTTTCAGATGTGAATCTTGATACTCTGATCTGTATGTTAGTGGGACCTTAAGGTGACAACTGTAGCATGTTGTACATGAGACATTAGTTATTAAGTGTTAAATACATTCACAAGGTTAAATGGATACAGAATGCACATTGCGATGTGCCTGAAAGACTGTTTCCTTTCTCTCAACTATAAATGACTGATGACACCAAAATTGGGTGCAAAGTGAATCTGTTTCGGTTTTGTCTTCAACCCTGAAGAGTTATTTTGTGATTTGAGTGGGGAATGGAATTTACCTCACTGATACTTTACCTGGAAAAAGTACTTGGTCTCCAACCTTCCAGGTTGATTTGATGCTTGTTTAACTTTGTGAGGTGTTTGGTCGTCATTCTAGATTAGCTTAGGGTAGCAGTAGACAACTTTGTGCGATCTCAGCAAAATAAGATTTCATTACATGGGCAACTGTGTTATATCTGAATTCTGATTTAGTGCCAGAGCCATTTGCAAGAAAACAATTTTCTAAATATTACCAAAAACTATGCAAACTAGTACTGACAGATGGCTGTAAGATAGACATTAAAATGGTCCACTTTAACAGTTTATATTGGATTTGGTTGCTGTTGTTGTGTTTAGATTAATAAAAGGAAAGCAAATGACAAAATTCATGCATTTTGAAATGTAGACAATACTGGTGCGTAATGAAATCAAACATACATTATATACTTTATTACTCCCATGTCGATCTTTGTTACAGATACTAGACTGATACCAAGGAAATAAATACAAATGAACACATTCCTAGGCAAATACCTTGAGCTTATATAGCAGTGTCATGATGAAGCTGTTTCTCTGTCTTTTCCTGCCATCCCCGCAAAAGTCAACATCACTGCCTTAAAACTCCAAAGTTCTTATTCTGCTTTGTTCTTTCAGTTTACTCGAGACAATCATGGTCTTATTTTCTGTTATTTTCACCAGAAGGGCAACTGTCTTCCATTAAATCCAAAAGCAAAAATACAGCTCGCTCAGAGCAGTAGAAGGAAAATTACATGTAGTGGAACCTGTTCTTCTCATTGAGATTATGATACATCAACTATGAACTATGATTTCACGATTTCCAGAATGGTTAATTATGAGAAAATAAGGTGTCTTCATTTCTTCTACTGTTATTTCTTCATTCTGTTATGAATTATTGATGCTGATATTATTGTTGATAAAAAGTGTTACCAGGAAATTAATACTATATTCTTAATAAGATTTTGAATGTGATTTGTTGTCATTATAAATTAATTCTGCAGTACTTTAACTGTGTTTTCAAGAAAAGTTAGTCAAATAATGAAAGACCAGTTTGATTTTGAGAAACATTTTTATTAAAACCCCCCCTATTCAGCAGACAAAGAATAGTAGAAACTGTTTAGGATTATAGTGCAGTGACCAGAAAGTCTCTGTCAACAAATCGGGGAAAAAATCCCTATGAATAGCTTTTAGGTTGTAATTTAATATACTTTTCCCAGGTTGACCTGCACTTCATGAAAAAGATTCCACCTGGAGCTGAAGCATCAAACATCTTAGTTGGTGAACTAGAGTTCCTGGACCGTGCGGTTGTTGCTTTTGTTAGGTTATCTCCTGCAGTGCTGCTTACCGGACTAGCTGAAGTTCCTATTCCAACAAGGTACGGCTGGATTTATTTCTCTTCATGTTTTTCTAAGTACCTTGTGGAGACAGGGTGATGTGACCTTCAACTTTGTCATTTATTGAGTTATGAATTTGGTTCTTTCTTTAACAAAGACATCTCTTAGAGACATCTTTCCACTAATCCTTTAAATGATGTATGGGTATATTCAGAAACATGCCGTTTGTGTGTACAGATAATCATTCTTTGCGGAGGTAGAAATGATAGCTTGTTAGGTTACAACACACAGTTTATCCTATACAAACTGGTAATACTGCAGATGAAATAGCTGCTTAGAATATTTCATCTGGAACTGAAACTACTTGTGTGATACTGCATAATTTTGTCCAGAAGAAAAAAAATGAACAAGGAATTGAGAAAAGAGGAAAAAACAATGTGATTTGATTGACTAGGGGTGGTGAATGGATGAAGAACATGCCGTAAATATCACGCTCTTCTTTTAAAAGTTACTTGGTAGATACTTGCATGGTAGTGAATGTGACTTTTAACCATAAATTTTTATTAGATTATTTTTTCCTAAGTTGAAACTTTTTCTGATGAAGTACTTTGGTTCTGAGAAGAAATTATGAGGAATTTTTAAAAAATGTCTATAATAGACTTTGTAGTCAAATAGAAAGCATTTAAATAGATCTGCAGATATATTGTTTCCTGCTGGGGTTGATTCAGATCAAAAATCCAAAGTGATTCTTCCATATCTGAGTTCACTGACATAACTATTATTGCAGTCTCTCACTTTTTTTGGTACTTATGCATGTGTTTGTACACATATTCTGTCTCTCTCTCCCCTTCCCTCTTTTAGTTTCTATAAAAGTAGAATTCCGACAGAAGGCAGTAGTGTGTTCCAGTTGTTTGTGACACTCAGGAAGGAGTGTTATGCTATGAAATGCTGACACTCAGATCCTTGCTTCTAGTCAGATAAACAGTATAAAATTTTCTTTAAGTTATAGTTACTTTGTAGTTACTTTGGATATGACTTTTTTTGTCTTTTCTAATTTTTGTATGTGTATAAGGAACACCGTCTTTGCATTTTAGCAAAACTGAGAACTTCAGTTATTTCATTTGAACCTATCCTCTGTGTTTTATAGAACCCTGCTAGCCCCAAGCCTAGAATAGAAGCTGTCTAGAGACTTAATGGGAGTGAGAATGATTTTAAAATTGTTTTTATTTGGGGCAATTTAACTTCCCCAATATTGCAATAATACTACTACCATAAAATAGTTGATTCTGTTGAATTAACAGAATTAAATGAACTAATGTTAATGTGTCCTGTACATAGATTATAATTGCATATATTTATTATGTAAGATAAGGTTTGTTATGTAAGGAGGTTTTGATAGTCTCAATCAAATCTGACTGTGAAGCTTATGATATATTTTTGGAAGTTATTTTCACATTTTTTCTAACCAGAGCTTCATGTTTAAATGCATGTGTGAGGATCTTGAAGGAGACTATATATAATGTTTGTCTTGGAGGTTCTTCTAGTCCAATTTTTAAATAAGTATTTCTGTAGTATGTATAGTTACTTTCAACAATCTATCCTTTACAACTTTTTTATTGATCTTTTATTTGCAGATTTTTGTTTATTCTTCTGGGACCACTGGGTAAAGGGCAACAATACCATGAGATTGGAAGATCAATTGCAACACTAATGACAGATGAGGTATTTTTATTCAGGCTTGGCTTCAGTCATTTTGTACTGACTGAAAAGGTGTAATAGGGAATCTCCAGCATGGAATTTTCCACATGAAATGTGTCTAATCATTCTGATGATGCACAAATAGCATTCTAGTTCATCCTGTAACAGCCCAGATTATGCTGCCATAAGGAGATAAAAAAATGAGAAACAATATTCACATGCAAGGATATCTTCACTGAGAAGATTCAATTTCCACAGTTGCTTTCCAGTGGAATTAATTGTGTTTTAAACTGTAAAATCTCTAGAACATTTAGCACCCATAAAGATGTTTTTCCATAGCAGCTGGAACTTCTATGAAAACTATGTACCAGAAACTCTAGTCAGTTGAAACTGAGATTGTTTGGTAGAAACTGCATGAAGTGCCTTCTATTTCAGAGAAAAGGGGCCATCATGAAAAATGTTATGAGAGTATTCTTTTCCCCATCTCTTTCTCCTCCTACATACACTTCTCCATTTTTCACAGGTGTTCCATGATGTTGCTTACAAAGCAAAAGACCGTAATGACTTGGTGTCTGGAATTGATGAGTTTCTTGATCAGGTTACTGTTCTCCCTCCTGGAGAGTGGGACCCAACAATTCGAATAGAACCACCTAAAAATGTTCCCTCTCAGGTTTGTACACTGTAAAATGCAGACACTTTTAAATGTTGTGATGAATTTTGGCTAGGTAGAATTAAGTCTCATTAATTTAGCATTTAGCAGAGTCACTATATAGGCATTTTGCATGCTCTTTTTTTTTTTTTTTTTTCTTTTTTTGGTTAATTTGCTTTAAGAGAACCCTTGTGTTGCAAGCATACAGTACAGTGATGACATTTTGTATTGCTCAATACTAGTTCTCTCCTGAATAAAGACAGATAGTTGTATCTAAAGATCTTAAATTCAGGGGTAATTGGTCATAAGCATCTTTGATTATTCCAAACAGCCATGGTTTGCTTTTGTTCTAAGCTTATTGCAAGAATTGATCAAAGCAGCCTGGCTTGCTACTTTTTAAAATGTTTTCTGATACAAGATTTTCTGTGATCAATTCTTTAAATTTCTTAGACCACAATTCCTTCTACTGTTTCCTGTTGTAAAACTCCTCTACCACTTATGAAGAGGTTATGTTGATGAATCTTACAATAAAATTTACATGTTTAGTCTTTGAACTCTCAAAGCCTGTTTCTTCTGCTAAAATTATGTTTTCGTTGCTAAGATCCATGAGAAGTATCTTTTCCTTCTGGTAGGAGAAGCGTAAGATCCCAGGAGTGCCAAATGGAACTGCAGCCCATGGGGATGCAGAACAACCCGGAGGACACTCTGGACCAGAACTGCAACGCACTGGGAAGTTAGTGAAAACACGCAAAACCTTAAGTGTTCTAAGTGATGCACTTCCAAAGGAATCATAATGGTCTGGTTTTCTCTCAAATGACTGGCTTGGCATATGATTTTTTTTTTTTTCAGGCATTTTTTCTGATTTGTGTACCACATGGTTGAAAAGGACAATACCTGCTAATTTGCAGAGAGGGGGAGAGGGGAAGAGGATTTGAGTTTTCATAGTGTATTTATTGCAAGCTCCTTTCTCTGTTATTTATAACAGTCAGACCTCTGTCAAACTTGATTAATGTTTCTTGGTTTTGTACAGCACAAAGGAAAAGTTGGGAATAGTCTGGTGCCATATATTATGAATGCTCACAACTATTTTGTAGGTGAAGTTTCTGGGTTGTGCAGCTCTAGCATTTCTTTTTTTACCTCAGTAAGCCATGATAGGTCCTGGCACATGAGGCTGCAACGTACACACATTGGAAGGAAGAATTTGCCCCAATACTTATGGTGTCTCGTCTAATACGGTGTGGTGTTAAGTGTGTCAGCTGTCAGTGGTTGCCTTAGTGCAGTGTAGTTGTGCGATAGACTTTTCTTTTACCTTGCTGCCTCTTGATATTTAACAATCATTCCTACCTGCATAAGGCTAAAGATTCAGCTGGAGTGTTGGTGTACACAGTGGGGCAGAGGAGATGATGGCCAGTCTGGCTGTAGGCCACTCTGTCACTGGTGAACCTGGTAACTTATGGCTCAAAGGATCATTCTGATATTTAGGAGATGGTGGCACTTTGTGTTCCTCTTTACCCCAGCAACATCTGATACATCAGGTGCCTGTGAGAAAAAGAGCATCATGGGGATATTTACTTTAACTGTATGGTGTATTGTAAGGGAGCGTCTGTTTCTAAATATTTGATTATATTTAGCATAGTGTAAATGACAAAAGATGACAGTTCTTGTCCTTGGAAAATTGTGGCCTACATTCAGTTCTATCATCCAGTGTATTGAGGAACAGGTTCTCAAATAAAGAATGTGGAGACGTGTGGGCAAATGGGCACTGTGGTAGCTCTCTGATTAAACAAATACAAAGAATTATTTCACATAATAAATAATAGGGTTTTATGCGTGGGAGTGAACAGCTGTTGGGTCTGGATGATTAGATGAAGATTTTATAAAAGAAACATGCAAATTAGTTTGTTTTAAAAACACAATTTCGTGATTAAAGTTATCAAGGCAGGGTTCCCAGAAACTTTTTTCTGGGAGGGATGAATTATAAGAGTATGTATCATTTGATCAAGGAACAATAGCTTCTCTGCAGTATATTTGAAGCGATACTGTGGAATAAAGTTTGGTCTGCCTTTTTCATTAATTTGATGTCTTCTGGTTTTTTTTAGATTTTTTGGAGGATTGATTTTAGATATAAAAAGAAAAGCTCCCTTCTTCTGGAGTGACTTCAGGGATGCTCTCAGTCTGCAGTGTCTGGCATCATTTTTGTTTCTCTACTGTGCTTGCATGTCTCCTGTCATCACGTTTGGTGGTCTGCTGGGAGAAGCAACTGAAGGTCGTATAGTATGTGTTAAATCTGAACTTTTGAAACAAACTTACATTCCTAGTTTTGTGGTTAGTATTTTCTTATTGTTGCATGAATCACCTTCAAATATTGGTGTTTCAATGTTTAGAAGGCTAGAGACTAAGACATTGCAAAAAGAATTTGTTTGAAAATTTATGGACACTTCTCTCTGTGTCATATTCAGAGTGCAATAGAATCGTTGTTTGGAGCATCCATGACTGGAATTGCCTACTCGCTCTTTGGTGGACAGCCTCTCACTATACTTGGCAGCACAGGACCAGTTTTAGTGTTTGAGAAGATCTTATTCAAATTCTGCAAGTAAGTGAAGATCATGATATGCATTATCCCTCGAGTGTTGTTAGGTAGAAGTAGAGACACTGATCCCAAAGTTCCAACATCTGCAGAATAAGATCAACAGGTTGTTTTGGAGTGCACTGCTTAGGCTTTCAGGGTGAAAATTATGCAGTGACTGAGACAGGTGAATTGGTGGTAATGCAGAAAGGTTGATGGCTTCTTTTTATCGTTTTTTGTTTGTTTGTTTTTAAAAAAAACAAACTGTTTTGAAGGGAGTGCAAGGTTCAGGATGTTGCTTGGGTTTTGGGGTTTTTTTTTTAATTGTTTCATTTTCTACTCTGAAACAATATACATCTGTGGTTTATCTCATCCCTAACTCATGCAAAAGGTGTTACCTCTCACCCAAGAAGTAAGTGCAGCGGCAGTGGTGCCATCTTTCAGTAGTCACTAATATAGACCCTGCCCTTCCTCCACCCGAACAGAGAAGGGGTGAAGCGTCATGCCAGAACAGCATATCCCCACATCTGGGTTAATGTGCTGTACATGACATACCTCTGCCACAGTGTGGGTAAAATTTATGGCTGCATCTTGGCAATCATCATGCTTCTCTGCGATCCTCTCTGCTTTTCTGCCTCATTGCTGTGATGGGGACGTCTGCACCAAGATCTCCTGAACCTCCTGAACAACACAGAGTAGGAGACCCTGCTTAGCACCCCAAAAGCTCTTTTATCACCTTCAGGTAGACCTTTCAGTTCTCTGTGATAATGTACCCAATGTGTTTGGAGCTCTATTATCATATGCAATAAGCATACAGGATTTTGATGTAAGTTGTTGTTATAACTACTCTTGCAGCTTCAGAAGAAATTGACAGGTGTTGGCTGTGTTCACAAGACAGGATATGGGATAAAAGTGGGTGGACCTTATACACTCCATGTGTGTGACTACTCTTGAAACTGCTTGCTCATTTTAGTAGAGATAGAGCTCTTTGTGTCCCATTAATTCAGAGGAGAGCCCGGGTCAAGAGATGCCTTGACAGTATCTTCAGTTCACAATAGGTAAATAATTTCTCATTCAGACTGTCCCCAGAATCACACATCCCTAGGCAAAGGAAATTTTGGAGCTGCCTCTTCTCCATTTAATGTGGCTGGGCAAAAGATAAGCTGTGTTTAATTTTTTTTTTTTCTTTTTGTTTTTTTTCCAGAGAGTATGGGTTGTCGTACCTTTCTCTGAGAGCTAGCATTGGACTGTGGACTGCAATCCTGTGCATCATCCTTGTTGCAACTGATGCAAGCTCCCTAGTCTGCTACATTACCCGGTTTACTGAAGAAGCTTTTGCTTCTCTTATATGCATCATTTTCATTTATGAGGCCTTAGAGAAGCTGTTTCATCTCAGTGAGACATATCCAATCAACATGCATAATGATTTAGATCTGCTGACAAAGTACTCGTAAGTAAGATTTCTTCTGTTAACACAGGATTTTTTTTCATAGGTTATGTTTTCTCTGTGAGGAGCACAAGCGAGCGCACAGCAGGAAAAGTTTGCAGTAGTTGCAAACTTAACATGTGGAAGCAATTGAGTTAGGCATTATGGTGGCATATGGGAGTAGTAGTTACTGGAGGTATGTGTACAAGTAGTGCACATTTACTAAAGATAAGTAAAAAATATCTTGACTTGGAGTTTGGGAGAGCTTACACACGTGCAACTTGGAAGTCTTAGAATAAAAAATAGGACTTGGAGGGGCCTCAGCTTTAGGTGTTTATTCACATTTTTATTTAATGAGGTGTAACTCTGATCTGTTACTGTAAGCTTGTACTGATGATTTATTGGGTGTTCAGGCAACATTTTTATATCATATTTATCATGGTTTTTTTTTTCCCCCCAAATTGAAATATTGACCTATCTAAAAAGGATATAATTTGATGTACCTCTCTGTCAGTTCAGGTTCAAGCTCCAGGAACTGAAGTGGATTTGGAACTGTTAGGCTTCTCAGTGGTGATTGATTTTGTCATAATCAATTTGTTCTTAATAACAAGATTTTTAATGTGATTCCATTTAAGCAGCTTTACTTTTTTGTGGAGTTTTGACAGGTAGTATTTTACTTGGGGAATGAAAAAGTGAATGGCTTTAATCAATATAGTTTCATTTAGAAGTAAAACTCATAGACTTGTTTCTGTGGTATGAGAACAAAAATGTCCTTCTAGTAAAGGACAAGATCCTAGTCTGTCATGAAGCCAATTAAGCCTGGTCACCTCAACAACTAAAATGTCATTAAAAAGCATTCTCAGAGAAGATCCCCTTTCAGAAGTGTTTTTATTATTTCACTGAACCCATTTGAACCCTCTGCATGAGCAGGGTGGGGCCCAAAAGGAACAATGCTTGAACCCTGCCACATCTGTTCACTGAAAAAATGGGAGTGTCTCAACCAAATGTCTTATTTGCATTTTACACTGGGAAAAACAAAACACAGCAACAGAGAAGATATTTGAGCTTTGTCTATGTTATCACTTGAAAAATAGTTAGCAAATCCTGGATCTGAATGCACATTTTATACCTTATAACACAGAACAAGTTAAATTACAGGAACTATAGTTCTGCTGTGACATACTCTCTCATTATGCTGAAAAAAATATTATTTCTCTCTGATAGTTTAATTAGCAGACAAAGGAACATGAATTTGAAGAGAAAGCAATAAAAATCAAGAATAGACCATGCATGCAGTTGAGGTTATGTCCTAGTCTTACTTCACTTCACTTAACTTCTATAAAGTTGGTATTTTACTCTAAAGAGCCTCATATAGCACAGTGTTTGTGGATTTTTTTTTTCCTTTACCACTTCAAAGTAGTCATCT